CTTCATACTGCTCTGCCGAAATCACAATCCTCTTAGTGTTTGGGGGGTTGTATCACAAAGGCACACTGCCAAATGAAGGGTACAAATGGGGATAAACATGAGGTAAATTAATTAAACGTTAGTTTTAAGATACTGTAGAAATCAACTTTTTGTTATGAAAGCTTGTTCACGATGATCTGATCTCATTCTGTCATGTGATCTGAGCCCACAAGGCGTAAAGAGACAAGAGGCGTCCTCCAGGTGAATTTCAACTTCTAACTGGACTGACTGCGCCAAGTCAGTCATTATCTGTTCAACAGAATGTGGCAGTCTTCTTCTAAAAGGTTTATTTTCCGCTTCAAAAAACGAGAACCTTGTGTTGACTTTTCCCATTTCCGCTCTGCCTCTCAGTTTCTAAATATCATAATATTTCAGGTGAATGACTTGAATGGAAACCCATCAATGGAGAGGAAAAAAACCTAAAACTGGCACTTACAGAGATGAGAGAACTTCCCTGAGCGTGCGCATAACATTAGAGACTTTAAACAGACACACTTTTTAACATCTCCTGCTCTGCACTGATTGGCTGATGTATAGCAACCAGCGTCACCATAGTGACATGGAGGCAGTAGCTGGGCTGTGAGCAGGGGATGATCAGCAAACCTGAAAGTGTGCTGCATCCACTGTGATAAAGCAAAAATAATCAAATTCTGCCACATTTTGGTCGTGCGCACACACACATATATATGTGTCCACATGTAACCGAAGGAGAAAACCTCTTGTGTGGGTTTACATGCACCCGTCTCAAAGCACTCTCCCCTCCAACATCACACCCTGATGGCTGTGACATTGACCAGTTGTCATTTCATCTAAGACGAGAAATGCAAGCTGAGCCCAGAGATGAAAAAAAGATGACTTTTTTTCACAGCAATATTGCTGCGAGAGATGTGGCATCTTTTTAGCAGCCCTGCGGCCCTGCACTGATTTCACATTTCATTATTCATTATGCGTGAGACAATCTTCAGCTCTCCATGAAACGTACGTTGCTCCTAGATGGCTGTCAGATTGCAAGGAGGAAAAGTTTGAAATTCGATAAAAAGGTGCTTGGTTCATCTGATTGGTAAAAAAAAAAAAACAGAAGTGCTGTTCTTGAATCATGCAACATGTTTAGGTTTTAGACGAGCAATAAGGAACGCTGAGAAGCGGATTGGATGTCTTTGTATCCGTGGAAACCGTCTTGATAACAAGACAGATAGTCAAAAAAGTTGCAAATGCATGATTGATAGGTGGTGAGAGCAAATGTGGCAAAAGAGGATTAGCTTTTGTGAGCGATGTGCTGGTAATATCTCATCCTGATGCCGCGCTCGTTGCCTTCTGTTGTGCTCCACGGCTCCTTCGGATTCCACACAGCAATAAGTATGTATTTATGTTAAATCAACACAGCATTCTCAACATAATGAAATAAAACATGAAGGATGATAAAGGATGATTTTGCTGTGTTCATCATTAGAAGATGTTTAATATACTTTTGGGAATCCCTTGATTTCTGTGTTAGAATTGCAGAAAAAAGGGAAAGGAAAAAGGACTGATTGGCCGATTGCAGCCTTGACGGGAAATTAAGGTGTGGATACAGACATTTGAGGTCTCCTACCTCAGGTTAATGAGAATTCCTCCCTCCTTAATCGTAATCCAAATCGTTCAATCTGATTTTGCACTGCCCTTTGACCTATTCATTGCCTGCTTGGACCCTCTTTTTTAATCATATCTTATTTTTGTAGTGTTAAAGAGTATTTCTTAAAGTTGCTGCAAATTTTTATAGTGACGGTTTTACGGTTTGGATTGCACTGCTATCTGGCACCCAATTCTTATATTTAAGTAATCGCCACTCCACTATCTACTTCACAGTAATCAAGTTCAACTGTTTTTCAAAATCCTGCCAAAGGAATCAGGGAAAATGTGCTGAAAGTGCTGCTTTGTTCCAGCCAGTGGGGAAACACAGCAGTTTATCTAAACTTTCCCTTGTGAAATCCCTCATAAGGTGTTACCATCTTCACAATCGTTGTCCACGTTAACGGCACCACTCGATTCTCAACTGCCACCTCACTGGTGACACAACAGCCCGTCTGTGTTGTGATACAGTGGGGAGTGTGTGTGTGTGTGTGTGTGTGTGTGTGTGTGTGTGTGTGTGTGTGTGTGTGTGTGTGTGTACATGCATGTATTATATGCTCATTATCTCAACAGACCCATGTTGAGATAATGTTGAGATAAACACAAATAAAGCGTGAATGACCGCCCACCCTCCCCTCACCCCTCACCCTCCTTTGCCCTGAATGTAATGCCACCATTAAGCTAGACTGTGACGAACACCAGTGTTTTCATTCCCAGAGCGATGACTCCAATAAAACCGCATTAGCGTTGGCCCCCACCCAAACCTCAATTGGACAAGCTGAGAAACGAGCCTTTTTGGCCACAGTAAAAGTGGACTGACTGGGCTGAGAGGTGAGGAAAGTCAAAATTAAGGCCAACTAAGGATGTTGAGCAGCATGAGGCGAGGAACCTAGGTCTCTTAGCAACAGTTTTGTCCTCTCCGCCTACACTGTGATACCGGCTGGAATGAACAGAATCTCGCATGTATGTGTGTGAGCAGACATGTGTGTCCGCCCAAATAGCTGGTGCCATTATGACAACACAAAAAGCTTGGCATGATGTCTTGTGGCAAAAAAATGTCTTTCCTTTTTTGTGTATGGGTGTGTGTGTGTGTGTGTGTGTGTGTGTGTGTGTGTGTGTGTGTGTGTGTGTGTGTGTGTGTGTGTTAGAGTTGGCCTTGTGCATGGACATGTAATGAATTGAGTAAGTTCAGTAAGTACAAGGAGGGACGCTAGATCTAATGGGGGGCATCGACCGCCAATCTGAGACAGTTGTTTGGCCCTTTAATGAATCCGTGTCGGATGGTGTGAGTGTCTGCACTTTGTAGTTTGTGCATCAATAAAGCGGTTGCATGTTTTGTGACCACACAGGGCAAAAATACAGTATTTAATTGACACACTACAGTTCATCCAAAACAATGATATGTGCTGTTGTGGACAGATTTGTACATATGATAATGATTTAACATGAATAATTATGAAATCGCAGTTTATCTTCAGCTGCCACGCCCAGTTTTCCCTTAATTTCTGGGTGAAAAGTTTGAAAGTGAGTTGCGGTGGGAATGCTTTTGGTAATGATGGGAGGCGTGCAGTTTTGATCACACATAATGGTCTTTGTGGTTGTATGCACGCACAGATTCTATGTCTGTGCTGGCTTTTCACTGTTTAGGGCCGTGACATGGTCAGTGTGGGAAATGTGTTTCAGTGTCCACATGCGAGTACATTGCGCCCTCTGGAGTTGAGACATAAGAACTTCCGAAGAACTTTCTTCCGGTCCAGCAAAGAGGAAAAAGTTGATTCCACACACAATGACAGTCCACTCCTGCTTGATTTATACAAAACTAATGAGAGACAGTGAATCATTCTTACTTTTTACTTCAGTTGTCAAAGCAGGGCCGTCCCTGCAGTGAATAAAATATCAAGTACCCCAATTTGCTATTGAATAAAAATGACTGATGGCACCAGTACACATTTTAACGTAATTAATTGCCATACATTTAACATGTATTGATAATGTTTTTTATAATATATTACTGAAATTTTCGTTAATGCCATACAAGTGCTTGTCTTCCCTACTATTGGGATGTGTAAAATGACGGTCTCTAATGATCTCTGCCGTTTGAAAAGAGAACTGCGTGCTCTTTCTATGAGTTATACTTACAAGTTAAAATACAATATAAAAGCTTATAGGATTTGTGTTTTATCATTTCTGCTACTCTGTCTTGTAAAATTAGAACAGAAAAAAAAACGATTGCCTTACATGCCTTACGTTGCTAGGCAACGAGGCATGTTGCCTAACGTTGCTAGGCACCGAGGCATGATCGGTGCCTAGACTCAACATGCCTCAACGAGGCTCAGACTCAACATGCCTCAACGAGGCATGTTGAGTCTGAGTTCGAACCCGCTCGCGTCTACCAGAAGCTAAAACACCTGTAGAACAGAAATAGTCTGCTAACCGACGAAAATGAACACACGACACGTATCTGACCATGTAATGGAAGAAAACATAACGACGGAGGTATACGGCTCCTAGTAAGTGACCCAACCCGTAGCTAGCTTGGACCGAGTCAAGAAACGTGAATGAACGTTATCTAACAACATTAATTATTAGCATGTAGCTAATATCTTTATATGACAAAGATATTAGCTTGAAAAGTAGTGTACGTTTAGAGGTGTATGTGGATACATGTACAGCCACACTAAAATGAGTACACTAAGCTGAATTGCTAAAACATGTCATAAGTAACAGCTTTCGGGTTGCCAGGTTGTGGCTGCTGTTGTACGTGCTGTTGCTGACTACGTAAACTCAGTCAGCAAACTTTCAGACTTGGGTCAATTCAGAACCACGGTCAGCTCCAGTTCAGAACCAAGGCCAGCTCGCAAGATTTTGGGTAGAGTCTATTGTTAGAACTAAGACATGGACCCCTGGCCCGTTGTTATACTCCATATATGAGTATGATTCTATCCCGAAATATATTCTATGTAATAGGTTGTCTGTAATTTATATACATGTACCAAAACAATAAAGGGGATTAGACAAAGGTTGTATATATTGACAATATAGAGGCGAAAGAAACATACTATTGCAGATCGTTAAGATGTATGATTATGAAACTCAGCTCACCTAGACCAGGGTTTTGGTTCTTTTAGAAATGGGTGAAAAATCATCTCACTCACTTGAATCATCATCCTGTTAGTTTTAACTAAACTTGAAACATCCCTAAACCCCTGAAAGCAGCACGAAAATAAGATGCTAAGAGCTGTAAGACACTTTTCATATAACGTGTTTTCGTTATGACGAGTGTTTCGTCGTCTTTAACTAAAGAGGCTTTTACGGTGACATCCTCGTACTTCCGGTACACTGCTGTCTGTCTCCCTCGCGCTCACTTGACTCCTGCGCATCCCTGAGCGGAGCCGTCGGTACAAATTTAAAGGAGCACGAGACACGCATGGTGCATGTGAGGAGCTCATTTTATTTTTTTACGTGAACACGGTTAAAACGTGAGGTGTTTTTCAGAGCCAGGGAAGGACGGACCACGGCGGGGTCCATCTTTGCCCGGGACACTAAACGGCTGACGTTTCAAGAAAGCTGCTCGAAAACTGCGGTATAGTTCGATACGACTTATTTTGGAGTTTGTTGTGATTTCGGTACACTTCTCCACACCGCGGACCACAGCCGTCGCATTAGTTTGTACAAGCTGTCGAATGTTGAATTTTACGGCAGAGTGAATTTACCCCCCTTGGAAGAGTCTCCCGTACTTCGGACCTGGGGTGCGCAGACGTACGTAGGCATCGCACGTGGAACTCACTGGCCTCGTTTCATTGGACAGATGCTTTCAATTAAATAACTGACTTGCAGGGTAGCGCTCGAGACCGAAGCCGGACAACGTGCACCTTCCTCCGTGTTGCCATCGCCATCGCCCAAGGAATATGTTGATGAAGGAGTACCGCATCTGCATGCCTCTGTCCGTGGAGGAGGTAGGTGAAGTTCTCCTTGTTTATTTTCTCCAGCTGTTTTGCAGCGCTCTCTGTGTCTGTCCGCCGACGGTCTGCTCTTCCGTCACAAAAGCGTGGCTGCCAGCCACAGAATCGTTTGGTTTGACCGCGAGGCATAGCCTCGAAAAGTTGTGATGTGTGCGGTTATCATTTTGCACCAAAAGCACACGCCGAGTTCTCAGAAGCGAGGTGCGGTCCAGGGGCCGCCGCCGGGTGGAGCTGCTGCGGTCTCCGGGTTTCACGGGGACCGTGTGGAGTCTGCAGCAGCAGACGCAATCTGATTGTTATTACTGGACAAATCTGTGCATCTGGTTTCCGATCGTGATGGCATGCTTTTTGTGAGTGGTTGTAAGTCGACTACACATAACAACCCAGTTTATGATGTGACCTGGGCTTCAACTTACAGGAAGTGGGTGTTGTTTGAATGAGTGTGGTTCAAAGAGTCACTGCCGTCAAATTGTTTCTCCGTCAGCTGTTTGTGAAGATGCCACCATTCAGGCCAAGCTCATTGCTGGGGACTGATATGGTGTGAGGAGGGAATCTGTAGCTCTAATCAGAGATACTTTAACATCCTCTCCTGAGGTCTATCAGTCCTGATCCCGATCCTGATCTTTTTCTTGCTCTGTTGTCCCACTTGGTTCCTGTGAGTTTCATGTTTATAATTACGAGGATGCCATTTTATCACGTTGTGTTCTAAGGCTGATTGGCTCTTCTTCTTTGCTTTGCTACAATAGTGATTAAATACACTGTTGTCTTGTTAATTCCGGGATCCAACCTATTCTATTGATCTGTCATTGACTCGACAAATTACCCTTTATAATCTATTCAATGTCTGCAGCATCAATGTACGCACTAACACATACAAATACGCACTCATCACCACTGTGTGTGTATGTGTGTGTGTGTGTGTGTGTGTGTGTGTGTGTGTGTGTGTGTGTGTGTGTGTGTGTGTGTGTGTGTGTGGTGATCAAAGGTATTTAAAAACTGTTGAAAATTATTTTCTAATGCAAACAAAGTAAAAAGAATACATTATTCCCTAATTCATCGGAGCAGCAACCTTGGCCATTAGGAAGTGATCTATCTATCGTTCAGGGATGCCGTCATCTTCCAAACGTTTCCCATAAACTCTTGTTGTCTTCTTGCTGTTTGGTTTAGCCAAAGGCGTTTTCGTGCAGTACCTGTCACAACAAAGCACATGTCGATGTGCACTTCAGTTGCCATGGGTACGCTTCATTCACCTCATCATCCGTTAATGTTTGCGTTATCGTCAACGTAAGCTAGCTTCTGTAACATGGATGAAAAAAGAGAATACAAAAATAAAACTTAATCCAAAGTGGATGAAATAATGAAGAACTATTACCATGGCTGCAAGAAAGGAGTTAAAATAAAACCATATAGCTAACGTTAGTATGTGAGAATGTTAACGTTTGGCTGCAGTTTCCAAGCTTGTTACTAGTCTAAAGGCTTATGTCACATTGTTGACAGTAACGATACCAAACGTCTGGTTGGTTTATCCCCATAAATTCAGCCTTTGTACTCTCTTGTAAGAAACTAACATGGTTTTCTGTGGAAAGTGCTTACTAATGATGTTCTAGCAAAGCACAAAGGATTACTCAATTAGCTGAGGCCGAACACTTAGAGATCAAACGGATATCATTACAACATCATAAGGGGTTTTATGCAACCGGGCACGGATAATTACGAGTCCGTTTGGGAAGAGGGTTTGTTGTACACACAGATCTGAATTTCATTAACAACAATCCACAAGTCCTCTTCAAGATGGGATCCAATTATTGCACTACTGAGAAAACAAATTGGAGCACTGGCATTGGGATCTTTTGATGCTCATATTGCAGTTCAGTGGACATTTAGAAAACATGTATCTAGAAATATCTGCAGTACTTTCTTCTTAGTGTTGTGTTGCAAATTAGTTTTTTGTTCATATAACTCCATAATGCTATATTAACACTAAGTATGAATGCTATTTGTTTAAAGAGCACATGACACAGTTTGGTGGGGGAATTTGATTTACACAAATTTACTTTTAATAAGATGCGAGCGGTCAGAAGACATACTCTTCACAAATTAACTCACAAAAACCCAAACACTGAGGCTCTTTGTCATTGGGAAGTCGTGCTGTAATCACAGAGAAGTAAAGCTCTGGTGGTTTGAATCTGTGGACTTGGGCGACTGTGGGTGAGTGGGGAGCACGGTCGTCCTCCAATCAGAGGGTTGTCGGTTCGATGTGAGGCCCGGCTAACCCGCATGTCGATGTGTCCTTGGGCAAGGCACTTGACCCAACATTGCTCCTGTAGCTGCGACTACAGTGCGTGAATGGTAGTTATTGATGGGCAGGTGTATGGTTGTGTATGGTTCTCCTGTCATCACTGTATGAATGGGTGTGAATGGGTGAATGATGTCATGTAGTGTTAAAGCGCTTTCAGTGGTTGGAAGACTAGAAAAGCGCTATACAAGTACAGTCCATTTACCATTACCATTTAACTTAAGAATGCTACTTTGAAAAGGTTAGAAAATGTAAACAGAAAAGGGCTTCGGTCCACAAGGTTTAAACAGGTGTGCAAGCCTTTTTCTCTCAATGATCTGTGAATTCTCGTATGAAGATTCAGAGCTTCTGCTGATCACACTAAGCCAAGGAACGTGCTTAATGTATCTTCTCCTGCACCCCGAGGGACCTGCACTTGTTTTGATTAAGGTGACATCAGCCACGTTGTGTAAGGTCCCTCTCTAGGGGAGAGGAGGGATGGGGGGTGGGCGGTCCATATGTTTGTTTGTGTCTCTGCATACTGATATATATCTGATAGATTAAATTAATATTGGTGAAGAAATTAAAAACAGTATACCTGGTGGATCAATATGCAGGCCAACAATACTCCCCAGTACACCTAAAAAAACAAATGTCACGTACAGCTATGGAAGATTCTTTCACTAAGCAAAGCTTTCTCCACCTCCACAAATCCCAATCCTGTTTATTCTGCATTTATTTAACCATTCACTGGTTAAGGAACTAGGATGGTCCATTCTGCACTTCTGCAGTAGCAGTTGAATTACTTTCACTGCCTGCTTCATCAGATCCGGAGTAATGTGCGTTGGAGGGTGCTCTGAATAAAGACAAGAGAAGTTCCTGTTTGCAATCATGTGTAATAAAGGCAGTTAATTAGACCCCCAAAATTATTGCATTGCTTCTCTGCCACATCTTTGCTGAATCCTGCTGGAGTTTGCTTTTATGTTTTCCGATGTTACTTTTTCTTTGTTTCTTTTTTATCCATACTCGGCGCCTGTAGTTTCCGTACATCTTTGACAGTCAGTTCGTTATTGCTTTGTTACATTCTACCAAGTATTGTAACTGATAGGGATCCTTCAGTTTGGTTATTCATCCACATAACATTTCTTAAACCGCTTCCATTTGCCTGAATTCTATCCAGCTGCCAGCCTGCCAGCTCATAGGGCTGCCCTGAATAAGTACCCACTGTGGGGATAATTGAAATCCTGCTGGTATTTTTTCGAGGTTGCTCCCGGCAGCCTTTTTCGGAGATTATGGCTTTTCTATTAAAGCACAGTTTTTTATGTTCTTCCCCAGCTGAGAACCTCTCTTTCTGAGTCAGATCGTTGCTATATTCCATGTAATACTTTTTGGGGGGGATCTAGAGAAATTGGCTTTACATTCTTCATTGCATTGTAATGTGGTTCCGTCAACTAATCTATTGCCAAACAATGTGCCATTGCAGAGAATTATTGCAATGTGTTTCCAGGCTCCTACATAATCCTCTTAGTGCGCTTCATTTATTTTACATTCTTTGTTTGTTATGATTTGGGAGATGACGTTCAGCAGAGACAGTCAAGCTAAGTAAGACCATGCAGAGTAACATATTTTAGGCCTTTTGCTGAGAAGAAAACAGACAAACTATCAAAAATGGACAATCTGTGACAGCTACGTAGCAACATTGATCTGGTAAACATGAAGGGTCAACAGTTTTCTATTTATAGTAGAGAGCAGATTTAAATGAATGGGAAAGAACTGTTAGTCAGGTGACGCAGGTTTGTGGGCGTGGCTATAGTGGACAATTGAGGGGGAGAAGGAGTACACACAAGACATTTAAACATGCCATTATACCAAGTTGGCTTTTGATTTGCCTAAAAAATGTGCCATCTGCATGACCCCTATGAAACTAATGAGTGCGCTGCAGAAAAACGGTGCTTAAAACAGGAAAGTCACAAAGAATCTTTAAACTCAATTGACAATCTCATCAGTGTTTTGAATCAGCACAAAAGAAAAAAAAGAGCAAATGTAATTTAATGAGATTCAACATCAAAATGTATCATTATCAGGGTCCTGACAATCTCCTTATTGCATATTTTTATATCATCATCCAATTTTACGCTAAGATGATTGAACTGAAATTTACCTGTGGCAAAGATGTGCGCTAAACACTAAGGGGGATACGTCATATCATTGCTTATCATCTGTGTGTCCTTCTGTCTCTGGCTGTGTTGGAGACTCCACACATTGCAGCACTGAGATTCAATCAGAAGTCCTTTATGGTTAGAAGAAGCTGTGACACATTTTAATGGGCCCTGTTCATACTCATTAGTCTAAATATCTATGTGGGATGGATAAAAAGTAAAAACTTTTAGTTCAAATATTTTTTCCAAACACTGTTAAGTCGAAACATATTTTTGAAAAAAAGATCAAAATATATCAGCTTGAAAAATGTTTAGAAAAAAAAAGTAAAATATTTTTTATTTAAAAAAAAGGGTGAAAAATAAATCAAAAAATGTTTTGAAAAAATTGTTAGAGTTTGTTATGTAGGACAATTATGTTGTTTAGAAGTATCCAGAAAAGAAAATATTTGGTCTAATAAAGTGCAATTTTCTTTAAAAAAAGTTATGTTGGGTTTGAAAAATGTTTAAAAAAAAATCGAAAACATGTATTTCAAAAATGTATGCAAAAATGTAATTATTTA